TTTATTTTTGTTTATTTGTCCCATTTGTTTTAAATGGAATCAATATTAATAACGTTCTGAAACATGTTTTTCCCCACTTACATTGTAGATATATTTGCAAGTCAGTACATAAAGATCTATCTCATTCTTTTATTTATTTCCATTTTTATTTTTTAAAAACAGGCAATATGGTTACGTAGTTCAGAATTCAAAAAGTACAAAAGGGCATTTAGTGAAGTTTTCTCCTCATTTTTCTCCTCAGCCATTGTAAAAACGGCATGGGGGGAGTTTCTGACCCCTCTCTCCACTGTCTTTACCAGCTGTTCCTCCCACGGCACTCTCTGCTTCTCTGCCGGGTTCAGTAATTCATTGCAATGACCACACAGAAGTCACAGACGATACTCACAGTTGGGGGGCTTATTAGGGAAATAACAGGTTACGTTTGAGGCTCAGGACTGCTCAGGATACAGTTCTTCCCTCAGGACAGCCTCTCCCTGGCCTCAGTGTCTGTTGAAAGGCACTCAGAACTTTCTCTGTCCTTGGGCCCAGAAGCCCACTGCGCCATCTCCTGCATGTCTCTCCTGTGGGTCTCTTGCCAATCTCTGCCGCCAAGTCTCTCCTGCCACTGCTTCTCAGCGTCTTCAAGGTTACAGCTTGCTCTCTGCCTTCTGGTTCCAGGAGCTTCTCAGGACAGGGATCCCGGGTCCGAAAGGACATCCTGGCTCTGGGCTGTTGTTAGTTGGTGGTGGGGGGATCCTGTCTTTCCTGCCCCTCGGGTGGCTCATTTCAGACCCAGCGGGATGGCAAAACTGACCGATCCCTTTGGTGGGCCACAGTTAGCCCTGTCACACAGTCCTGCCCAGTCACTTGGGTGGGAGTTACAGGACCACGAGGAGACAGGCCACACTAGAGCCATCTGTGGTACTGCAGCCATCCGTTTTGCTTCCCCAGAAGCAGCCAGTTTTCCTCTGTATATCCTTCCAACGCTATGTTAGACGTACATAAGCAAGACTGTATATACGTTCTTCTTTTTCTCACATTTTACTCACATGGCTAGATGTAGACATTTTTATAGAGAATTGTTAAATTCCATCTAAAGAAGACAGGCTTTTTGTTTTTTTTAACATGAGCCTGCCTGTTTTACTGCATTGACGAGGCTACATCTTTGTAATTTTGCCATTGAACGTGGAAAGGTGCTGGTCTCGTTTTAATATATTTTTTATCTTTAGTAATTAATTCTAATTGCCCTTTAAGCTTTTTTCTGCTCTAAGATCTTATTCATTGTTGTTCGCTTAGAGCTGCTTTTATGTATTTATGTATTTTCCTTAGCAGGTTTTTTTTTTCTCAGTTACTAGATAACTGAAAATTTGAGATTGATGTTTCTCTAATATTTGAGATTGTGTGTTAAAATCATACGATTTCAAATAATCTTACCTAGTTTCTGTCTAAACTGCTAACAGTATATCGCTGTCATCTCTTTCTCCGTCAGGATGTTGTGCCTCAGGCTCTGCTAGATCAGTATTTATCCATGACCGATCCCTCTCGTGCGCAGACGGTGGACACTGAGATCACTAAGCACTGCGCATACAGCCTTCCCGGGGTGGCCCTCACCCTGGGCCGGCAGAATTGGCACTGCCTGAGAGAGACTTACGAGACCCTGGCTTCAGACATGCAGGTGAGTAGAGCAGTTAGAGAATTAGCGGTACATACATATGGAAGGCACAGCGTTTTTGCCTTCCGAAGCTTACTGGAATTTCAGTTCATGCTCTAGCATGGACTTGGTGTTAAAGAAAATTATGTAAGGAAGAGCTTAAAATTAATCAGTGACCTTTTTTTTTTTTCCCCCCATTTTTTTAGTCAGATCTCCACAGTTTGACTTTATTTTTATAAAGTATTATAGAGTGCCTTATCCCTATATATTAGTGTTCCACATAGCTCTAAGGGGTCCTCGTGGAAGACCTCAGGGCCACTGGGGTGACTAAGAGGCTCTGAGTGGGACTTTATGCCTCCGCTGCCCCTCCTCTCCATCAGAAAATCTGTATTCTCGTCTGTTTTATGTATTGAACTTTGACATAAAATATTTCACTATTGGGTTCTGGTATTTGGGGGAAATAAAACTTCTGCTCTGAATTCTCTGAGTGAGTAAAGTTTTAGGCTAAGTAACAATGCAAAAATTTTAAAATTCAGGCAACATGGAGGAAAAGATGTTTTTAACTTAAAGGTACTTATATACCAAAGACATCTCTGTTTAGGAATTCTTTTCCAGGCCCGTAAGCAAAAAGATTTTCCAATTCCTGTATTTCTTAAACCGCAGTTCCTTAAAAACAAGTCTGTTGTTGCTGAATGGAAGGTGGGCTGTACAGTAATCTGCACAGTGAAGGTGGCTCCAGCTGGCCTTTGGTGTGTGTGGAGCGTCTGTAATCGAGGATGTAATTGTTCAGAGAACTACAAAAGCTGTATTATTAGTAATTTCCAAGCGTGTTTTTCCCTCATAAATGAAAGGGGACATAATACACACGGGGTAGGGCATTAAATTTGTTCTGTCATAGTTTTTGATACATAGTAGACATTCAGAATTTAATGTCTGATACTACTACTCTTCTATTTTGATTTAATTTCTGAGATTATTAGCATTCAGATGTAAACTAACCTTCATATGTAGTCCAGAGGTTAAATGCACTGTGTATTCAGATTACTGATGCAGTGTGATTATTAGCACTCAGATGTAAACTGACCTTCATATGTAGTCCACAGGTTAAATGCACATTGTATTCAGATTACTGATGCATGTGATTATTAGCACTCAGATGTAAACTAACCTTCATATGTAGTCCAGAGGTTAAATGCACTTTGTATTCAGATTTTTTGTATTTTGTATTTGTGATCTTTGTGTCTCCAGTGGAAAGTTCGAAGAACTTTAGCATTCTCCATCCATGAGCTTGCAGTTATTCTTGGAGATCAGCTGACGGCTGCAGATCTGGTTCCAATTTTTAATGGATTTTTAAAAGACCTCGATGAAGTCAGGATAGGTGTCCTGAAACATTTGCATGATTTTCTGAAGGTAATTTAAAAAAAAAAAAAAATTTTTTTTTTTCCTGCTATCACCAAGATAGTACCACTTGTGAAGTTGAGAAAGACTACAACCTTGGAGACCCTGTGGGGTGGTTCTCTTCTGTCCTGTAGGGTTGCTGTGAGTCGGAATCAATTTGACAGCAACGTTTTTTTTTTAATGTAAGAAAATATAGCCATGAGTTGATGGTAACTGAAAAGAAGAAATAGTCCCATTTTGATCAGTTTTGCTGGTGTCATTTTAAGTTTTAACTTAAAAATAGTTACGCTAATTTCATTTTTAGATTATATTAGATCATGGTTACAAACATACCTTTTTATTTTTCGAACTCTTTAATAAAATATATGTAAAAAAATTTTCACGAACATTAAGCTTGGAGGCTTTACCTGGTGTTTTAGGAGTCTGAAAATTTACCTCATCCTCATTCCTTTTGTATGGTATCACTGGTCTCCAAAGTGAACAGCCCTGATTTTTTGCATACTGTTTCATCATACTATTGTTTCTTAGCTATTAGCCTTGAAATTGGCTCTCTCATAGTTCTAAGGTATGAGTTACAAAAGTAGTTATAATCCTACTAAAAAGTAAATTCTACTAAAAAACACTGATATGACCATATTATTATATATTATTATTATTGTTATTATTATTATTATTATTATTATATGGTTATACAGATCATATAGAAATGGTTTTCAGGCTCACCTTTCCCTGCCTCAGACCTGAAATCAGCATTTCTCTGAGTGGAGAATGGTATTTAGAAACCAAAATGGTGGGCACTAAGTGTGCTCATTGCTTCCAGGGTTAGTTTTGTTTTTAGGCGTTTTCATTGGACAGGAGCTAGGAGGTTTTTATGTTTTAAATTATTGAGTTGATATCAATATCTTCACCTACAATGGAATACTATTTCCTTTCCTTTGTTCAGTTCACATTTCTTTTTCTTCTCCCTTACAGTAGAAACCCTGTTTCCAACAACATATATATATTGTAATATATTACAGTATAGTAATACATTTACTCATTTGTTCAATTCTATGATATACATGAAATAGTTTCAGAATTACACCACCAGTACATCAAATCAGCCAGTGTTGAAGGTTTTCTTTAGCACTTTCTTTCCTTAGAACATATCTGGTGAAGCTGTATGGTCAAAGTACTAAGTAAAAAACAGACTCTTTTCCCCTGTGTGATTGTGTTATCCATTTGATGTGTAATCAGGTTCCTTTGCTTCTGTTGATATCAAAATTTAGATTTTCGTCCATATTGATTATAAACCTACTTTTACATATGTGGAATAAATTTTTTTATTTCTTTCGCTCAGTAAACATTTATTGAGTACCTACGTGTGCCAGTCAGAGTGTCATTCACTGAGCCTGCATATATGAGTAAGATCGTAATCTGTCTTCAAAGGTTCATGGTCTGGCTTAGGGCCATAGGCTCATGGGACAGTCGAGTGAATTGGCATAATAAAAATTTTTTTTTTCAATAACATTGTGTTTAAGGTGAAAGTTTACACAGCAAATTAGGTTCTACACAAGTTATTCAGTGATACTGGTTACGTTTTTCACAATGTGTCGTCATTCCCATTCGTTCCGTTCTGGTTATACCATTTCCAGTACTCTAGTTTCCCTGCCCCCTTGTCATCTTTGCTTTAGCGTAAATTTTTACCATTACTCACAGGTAATATTCTTTATTTTATGAGCCAGTCTTTTGTTTAGCTAAAAGGGATGACCTCTACGGATAATTTCAGTTTAAGTTTTAAAGAGTATCTCAGGGTGATAGTCTCTGGGTGTTCTCTAGTCTCAACTGGTCCAGTAAGTCTGGACTTTCTAAGAATTTGAGTTCTGTTCCCAATTTTTATCCCATTCTGTCAGGATCTGTCTATTGTGGCCCTGATCAGAACAGTTGGTAGTGGTAGCTTGGCACCGTCTAGTTCTTCTGGTCTCAGGGTAGATGAGGCCATGGTTCGTGTAAAATATTATTAGTCTTGCAGACTACTTTCTTTTTCTTTTGTTCCAGGCAAGTAGAGACCAATAGTTTTATCTTAGATGGCCGCTTCCAAGCTTTTAAGACCCCAGATGCTACTCATCATACTGGGAGGTGGAACACAAACTTTAAGAACTAGTATGCTGAGTAGTGTCTGGAGTCTTTAAAGCTTGCGAGCAGCCATCTAAGATAAACTTCATTCATCTGGAAAAAAAGAAAGAAGGAAACCCAAGAATCAGAGAAGGAATTGGATTACAGGACTAATTGTCTATATGAACCACTGCCTTCTCCACCTTGATACCAGAACTAGATGGTGCCCAGCTACCACTACTGAACATTCTGATAAGGGATACAACAGATGAGTCCTGATAAAAAGGGAGAAAAATATGGGCCAGAACTTCAAATACTTATGGAATCCAGACTTACTGGACCTACTGAGGCCAGAATAACCCCTAAGACTGTGGCCTTGAGTTACTCTTCAAACCTTGAATTGAAACTACTCCTTGAAGATCACCTTTAAGTAACAGTTTAGCCGAGAGATTAAAGATTGTCACCCTTGAGGATCGTGTTTTAAAAAAGAGTTCATAGTAACAAAAATGTCCTAAGAATAAAGTGGATGAGCACTATAATAAAGTTATGCCCAAGCTACTGTAGAGTTCAGTGAAGGTCACCAACAGGCTCAAAAGACAAAGATTTTAAAAGAAAATAAAGATTCTTGAGGGTAAATAGGAGTTATTCAGGGAAAATGAATTTAATACCAATTTTTAAAGTGATTGAATCCAGGTACTTCATTTCTTCTTCAGTCAAAATAAACCATATTATTTATGCAAATAATGCTCACCTTCTATATTTCTTTGCCAGTTGCACCCTTCCCACATGAGGTATTTTCATAAGCACTGCTATGCCAATTTTTTTTTTTTTTACATGTTGCTGCAAAAAAAAAAAAAAAAGCAAGCATTATCATAGCACACTTACAAAAATATCTCGCACAGGGAAGGTTGGCAAACAAACATAGAAGGCATGCATTATTTGCATAAAAACATGGTATAGTCCATTCATAAGTAGCCTAGTTAAAAAAAAAAATGTCTATACCTTGTTTTACTAAATATTTTCAATTTTATTACTTCAGCTTCTTCATATTGACAAAAGAAGAGAATATCTTTATCAACTTCAGGAGTTTTTGGTGACAGATAATAGTAGGAACTGGCGCTTTCGAGCTGAACTGGCTGAGTAAGTTCTAACAGTGTGTTAGATTATGTTTTGGAGAGGTTTGTATTTACTTCATTTTTACCCTTTTCAGATTTCTTCATTCCTTTGTGTGCATGCAAGTTTCTGTTTGATATTGTATTCCTTTAACTTTTCTTGTAAAACTAACCTGCTGGCAGTGACAGCTTTTTTTTTGGGGGGGGACGTCTTTATTTTGCCTTCATTTTTCTTTTATTGTGGTAAAATATACATACAAAATTTACTGTTAGTTGTATTCAGTGCATTCACAGTGTTGTACAACCATGACAACCATCTAGTTCCAGAACATTTTCATCACCCCAAAAGGAAGACCTATTCCCATTAAGCAGTCACTCACCATTTCCTCCTTCTCCCTAGTCCCTGGAAACCACCAGTCTGTTTTCTGTGTCTGTTAATTTGCCTGTTCTGGGTATTTCATGTAAATGAAATTATACACTATGGGGCCTTTTGTGTCTGGCAACTTTGATTTTGCATAATGCTTTCAGGGTTCAGCCAAGTTGTAGCATGTGTCAGTACTTCCTTCCTTTTTATGGCTGAACAATATTCCTTTGTGTGGGTGTACCCCATTTTGTTTATGCATTCATCTGGTGATGGACACTTGGGTGGTTTTCTGCCCTTTGGTGATTGTGAATAATGCTGCTATAAACGGGAATACAAGTACCTGTTCTCAGTTCTTTTGGGGTGGAATTGCTGGGTCATGTGGTAATTTTTGTGTAATTTATTGAGCGGCCAAACTCTTTTCCACAGTGGCTACACCATTTTATGTTCCCACTGGCAATGTATGAGGGTTCCAGTTTCTCTACATCCTCACCAAAACTTGTTATTTTCTTTTTCTTTTTTTTAAATTATAGCCATCCTAGCAAGTATGAAGGTGTATCTTATTGGTGGTTTGATTTGCGTTTCCCTGATGATTTAATGATGTTGAGCATCTTTTCATGCGCCTATTGGCCATTTATATATCTTCTTTGGACAGATGTCTGTTTAAGTTCTTTGCACATTTTAAAGTTGGGTTGTCTTTTTGTTGTTGAGTTGTATGAGTTCTTTATATATTCTGGATACTAGACCCCACCTTCATTTTTAAAAGGTATTTTTGCTGGTTATCTAATTTGGGGTTGACAGTTGTTTAAAACATAAGATGTCATTCCATTGAGCTGCACAGCTTGCCTAACTTTTGACAAGACATCCGCGGTGATTCATTATCATTGATCCCTTATACGTAATATGTCTTCCTCTGGCTGACTTCAAGATTTTTTTCTTTTTCTTCGGTTTTCAGCAGTGTGACTGTATCTATGTCTAGATAGTTTTGTTTGTGTTTATTATTATTATTGTCTTTCTGGCATTAATCTTTGAGCCTTTTGGATCATGGTTTGTTGCCTTTCGTTGTTTTTGGAAAATCCTGGGCTAATCATTTTCTTTTCAGATATTACTACCACCTGATTCTTTCTCTCTTCTCCTTTTGGGACTCCAGTTATGTGTAGGTTAGATCATTTGATATTGTTCCACAGCTCTTACATGCTATGCTAGAGTTTTTTTGTAAGCTCTTTTGTTTTTGTATTCTCATTTTGGGTAATTTCTGTTGACTTATTTTCAGGTTAGGGGCCCTGGTGGTACAGTGGTTAAGCGCTTGGCTGCTAACAGAAAGGTCGGCAGTTCAGACCCACCAGCCACTCCACAGGAGAGAGATGTGGCAGTCTGCTCCCGTAAAGATGGTTGTTGTTAGTTGCCATTGAGTCAGTTCCAACTCGTAGCGACCCTGTGTACAACAGAAGGAAAGATGACAGCTTTGGAAACCGATGGGGAAGTTCTACTCTGCCCTGCAGGGTCGCTATGAGTCAAAATCGACTCAACGGCAATGAGTTTGGTTTGGTTTGGGGTATTTTCAGGTTTACTACTTCTTTCTTCTGCTGTGTCCAGGTCTCCTGATGAGCCTATGGAAGGAGTACTGATACCATGTTTTTATTTCTATGGTTTTCGTTTGACTTATTCTTATAGTTTCTGCTGAAATTTAGTCTTCTGAAATTCTGTTCACTCATGTTATCCTCCTTTTACAGAAAAATATTTTTTAACAATGAATCTTTTTTTTTTAAGCCCTAATCTGATAAGTCCAACATCTGGGTTATCTCTGAATCTAGTTCATTTGGTTGCTTTGTCTCTTGATGACGGGTGTGTGTGCGCGCGCGCATGCGCGCGCATCGCGTGCGTGCGTGTGTGTGTGTGTGTGTGTGTCCTAATTTTGATAAAATGCTGGACATGATGTGTAGAATAGTAGAGACTGAGTTAAATAGTATTGATGCCTGGAAATGGGCACACCTCTTCTTCTGCCATTAATGTGGAGGGTTGAGTCAGTCCAGCCAGAAGTCAAGCTGGGTTTGAGTTTGTTGCTGCTGTAGTTGCTTTCAGTGCCCCACGGGCTCTAATTGTTCTAGTGGTAACTGCCCCGCCTTTGCCGAGGGTGGGAGCTTGGGGTGCTGGTGAGCTTTTCCCAGGGTCAGTATTCCATTCTCAGCTTTCAGCAGTCCCTGCACTTCTGTGTCACAGAGGTGGGTCTTCCCCCAGCTGTAGACTAGTGGTAGGCTCCGCTTGGGGAAGGGGTGATTGTCTGTTATTCGGGTTCAGCCTCAGTCGTGGGGGTCTCTGTGCATCTGGACTTTCTCAGAGTTCCTGCCCCTCTCCTCACAGTAGGAGACCTTTGCTTGATTGTAAAGATAGAACCTTAGCTCAGGAGGGTTTCCTGCCCCACGCATCCTGGAATGAACAATGTTTTTTGTCTGCTCTTCCCCCGACTGCAGTATGTCTGCTCATGCCCATGGGATGGCAGCTTTGCTTCCTCCACCAGTGTTCTAAGGCTTTTGTTTTGTGTGAGAGAAGGGCCCAGGGAAGCGCACAGTGTTGATGCCTGTCCCCTGACATCTGCCACTGCGTGCCTGCCAAGGGGTCACTCTCTAGTGTCTGTCCTGACCTCAGTCTTTCTTGTGAGCACCGAGTGGAGGTCAGTGGGAAAGTGAGTGTGAACTCCCCTTATGTCTGGAGCCCCCGGCTGCTCCATCCTGACACACGAGTCCCCTTGGCTCGTTTCTTCTTGTCGTCTTGCGTGGTGGTCAGCGCCTCTTGGGCCCATGCTCTCAGCAGGCGAGTCAGTCATGTGGCCCATCTCTCCTCGGAGAGGGGCTTGTTGCACTTTGGAAATTACGTTCTTTGTGTGTACTTTGTACTTTATCCAGCTTTTTCCATTATTAGGGTTAGAGTACCATTTTTTGCCGCTTTGTACATCCCAAGAAGAAGCTGAAGTCCTGTTTGGGATTTTTGTTTTCAACTTTTGTGTCAGTAAATACTGGGTGTCTCTCTCTAAGGCTTTATGTTTACGTATATATGCCCTATATAGGGGTATTTATCTATTCCTACATTACTGATATTTGTGTCTGATTCACTTCCTGCTCATCAGAAATATAAATACTCATATACATAAAATCTGAACAGCAAAAAATCTCTTTCATGTCCGAGGTATTTCTTTAAGGGCATTAATGCATCTACTGAAAATTAGCCTAGTGGATGTAGTTAAATTTTTCAATTTCCTTTTGACATAGTAGGAACAGTTGCTAGAGGAATCCCTAGCAAATGTGTCCTTCCCTTAGAATGTGTTTAGAGTCTTGGCAAATACACACCAGGGCACCTAAATCTGCGGGAACTTTCTTATTTAGATAATTGATATGTAAAATGGAAAGGAGTTGGTTTCTAGTTTTCCTTCACAGTCTAAACAGTTACTCTGGAAGAAGAGCATAATGTCCAGTCACACACACCAGACAGTGCCTGCTCTGCCACCGTCGCTGTGGGCGCAGGAGTCACCCCGTTTCCCTCATGTTCTAAGGGGAAGAGGTACTCTCTGAACTTTCATAGCGTTTAAGTGGCATTGCCAGATTAACAGAGACTTACATTAATTCTGTGCATGAGAGACGTGGGTATTTTAAAATTTAGATCGTATTTTTTTATAATTTGTTTTGTAGACAGCTGATTTTACTTCTAGAATTGTACAGCCCCAGAGATGTGTATGACTACTTACGTCCCATCGCTCTGAATCTCTGTGCAGATAAAGTTTCTTCTGTTCGTTGGATTTCCTACAAGTTGGTATGTATTAAACCTTTAAAGTTTTAGATTAGCAAACTTTTATGGTATCATAGATTGGAAGGTGTTTCTCAATTCTCCATTTTAACGCTCCTAGGTTAGTGAGATGGTGAAGAAACTGTACATGACGACACCCCCCACGTTTGGAGTCGACCTCATAACTGAGCTGGTAGAAAATTTCGGTCGATGTCCCAAGTGGTCCGGACGGCAAGCCTTTGTGTTTGTCTGCCAGGTGAGCGAGGAACTGGGCTCACCCTTTTGTGACCAGTCTTTTTCCTAGAACTGTGCTTTTCCTTTCACTTCCTGCTTGTCTCTGACACCCTGTTTCTTATCCTAAAGGAGCAGAACTTTGGCATCTGCCCATTTATAGGATCACCTGTTCCCTCAGTGTCGGGTGTCTGTCTGGTTCTTCCTCTTGAGTTCCCTGCCCCTTTCTCCCTCTCAGTCAGCTGAGTGCTTTATAAAGCTGGCAGCCTACCATAACCATCCACTAGAGGGCGCTCAGTGCCTGTGGCCCATACTGCAGGTGTGACAGTGAAGGTATGATTGTGAACACTCCAGGCCTTCATGGAGCAGTTTCAAAAATGTGTGTGTGGGAAGTTAATTATGTAATTTTTGTTTTGAGTTCCCAAGTACCTGAAATAGAGTAGTCCACCCCCCCACCCCACATCCATGGGGGATATGTTCCAAAGACCCCCGTGGATGCCTGAAACCACAGATAGTACCAAACCCTATATAGCCTATGTTTTTGTGCTATACATACATACCTACGATAAAGCTTAATTTCTAAATTAGGCACAGTAAGAGCTTAACACAATAACTAATAATCAAACGGAACAATTATAACAATACACTGTAATAAAAGTTACGTGAATGTAGTCCCCAGGCGGACAGAGCAGGATGGCGCGAGATCTCATCATGCTACTCATTTAACGTTTCCAGGTGAACCCGCAGAAAGTCAAACTGCGGTTAAGGGGGGACTACTGTATTGGTTTAAACAGCAGGAACTGTCGACTTGTAGCACTTAAGTAGTCACTAAAACATTTTGTTAGCTAGTATCGTACAGCTTGGTAGACTGCATTTACAAAGAAATCTAAAGCGGTTTTTTCTTTTCACCAGACTGTCATTGAAGATGATTGTCTTCCCATGGACCAGTTTGCTTTGCATCTTATGCCACATTTGCTCACCTTAGCAAACGACAGGGTTCCAAACGTCAGAGTCTTGCTTGCAAAAACCCTGCGACAAAGTCTATTAGAAAAAGGTATGTAGGTGACTCTTAGAAAAAGTGTGCGTGGAGGAGAGGGGAGATTCACAGACTGCATGGACTAGATAGATATCGAAGCAGAAGCAGTGCATGTTGATAGAAAATAAGCTAGTCAAGGGATATATTTTAAGTTGTTAAGAGAGAGGACAAAGTTGTTGGACATAGGACAAAGAAGATTAAAGGGTAGGGAAGGGACTTTTATCACTTTTCTGTTCTGGTTGAAAAAAAACCTTTTTTACCATGTATCATTTGTATAATTCCACACTTAGTCATTTGAAAAATTGAGTATTATAACTGTGCAAAACCATGGCCTTTGGAAGAGGCCCACCTGGTCCAGGTCCTTGCTCTGAGGGCTGGAAGGTGTGTGGGTTTTTCCTCCCCCTGCTGTTCATCGAGCAGAAGACAAATGCTCCAGTGTTTCCTTTGCTGCGTTATGAGCGCCTCACGACTCAGGTGGTTTTATTTATTGTAATCCCCCACAAAATGCCTTACAGATATCAGTAGTAGACTTCAGGAAGAAAGGTAAATGATTGTTGTTTCTTCTTCCTCCTTTGGAATTCATGTAAATTTTATTGAATAGTGTAAAAACGACCTGGGGGCAGTGTCTGACCTCCTCCAACCCACAAGGGGGAAGGAGAATCAAGATCAACAGTGCAAGGCTGATTCCAACGAGGCGGGGAGGCCAGACAAACCTCCTCTCTCCACCATCTTTACTAATTCTGACACCAGCCGTCCCTCACACAGCACTGTCTACTTCTCTGCTGTGTCTGATAAGTCATTGCAGTGGCCACACAGAACTTAAAGACCATGCTCACGATTGGGAGTTTATTATAAGGGAAGTAACAGAATTCAGGCTCAGGAGCACTCAAGATATAGTTCTTCCATCAGGACAGACTCTTCCCAGCTGTGCTCGCAGGCACGCCTCTCCCTGGCCCTCAGTCTCTGCCCAAAGGCGCTCAGCTTTCTCTCTCCATGGGCCAGGAAGCCCACCACACCATCTCTTGCTGCCAGGTCTGTCCTGCTGGGTCTCTCCTGCTGGTCTCTCCTTCCTTGGTGGTGGTGGGCGGCTTCTCCCCTCAGCTCTGGAATTGGCTCTCTTTAAGGCAAAACTGACCAATCCCCTTGGAAGGTGTCTTAGTCATCTAGTGCTGCTCCAACAGAAGTACCACAAGGGGATGGCTTTACAAAGAGAAATTTATTCTCTCACAGTCCAGTAGGCTACAAGTCCAAATTCAGGGCATCAGCTCCAGGGGAACGCTTTCTCCATCAGCTATGGAGGAAAGTCCATGTCATCAATCTTCCTTTAGTCTGGGAGCTTGTCTGCGCAGGAACCTCAGGTCCAAAGGACGCGCTCTGCTCCCAGCACTGCTTTCTTGGTGGTATGAGGTTCCCAGCACTGCTTTCTTGGTGGTATGAGGTTCCCATGTGTCTCTGCTCGCTTCTCTCTTTTATATCTCAAAAGAGATTGCATTAAGACACTGATCTTGTCAACCTCATCAGTGTAACCTTGCAAAGTGATAGAATTTACAACACATGAGATCACATATAATCTCATCTTAGTGGTAGAGTTTACAACACATAAGGACATCACATCAGATAACACAATCATACAATACTAGGAATCATGACCTAGCCAAGTTGCTACACACATTTTTTGGGGGACACAATTCAATCCATGACAGTGGGCCACAATTACCTTATTTACACAGCCCCACCCAGTCACCTGGCTGGGAGTCATAAGGCCATGACTAGAAAGGCCACACACAAAAGTAATTAATGGCCCAGCAAATAGCAATTAGAATGAAATGGCCAGAGAAGACTTCGGTTTGGTTTGGTATTTGGGGGGCGGGAGGGCGGTGTTTGGAAGTATTTTTTCTTTTACTGAACTAATCAATACCTAAACAGTATAATGCTTTGATATATTTATTAGTTTAATACTGCTTAGCTGCCTTTGAAAATCATGGGATTTAGTCTGCCATAAAAGTAATCAAAATCTTAAAACTCTTATATTTTGGGGTTTTTTTTTTTAATTTAACAGAAGTCAATTTGGAATACTATTATCGTTCAACATAACTTGTGTTTATACCTGCAGAAAAATAGTGTTTCATAATGACTAAGAAATTTTTATACTTGTACTTGAGGAAACAGTTAAATATTAGACTGATTTTATTTGTAATCTGCACCTCTCATTTGCAGAATATTTCTTAAATTCTGCCAGCTGTCACCAGGAAGCTGTAGAACAGACAATTGTGGCCCTTCAGATGGACCGTGACAGTGATGTGAAGTACTTTGCGAGCATCCACCCTGCCGGCACGAGACTCGCTGAAGACGCCATGAGCACAGCTTCTTCCACTTACTAGACAGCTCGGCTCTTGGCGTCTCTCCTGCTTCCTGGCGGCCGAGCTTCTGCAAGTGCTTCTCACTCACGTCTGTCATCTGGGACAGCCTTCTGTGAAGGAGGAAAGACCTTCCTCTCTTGCCAGACTTAAGTGCAGGTGAAAGTCGCCTACTCCTGAGACCAGGGATTTTAAAAGTCAAGAGAAAGTACAGCAAACACTATCATCTCATCTTGACTTTAGGGAGAATAATTTCTCAGAGGATTGTAATTGTCACCGAAGCCTTAAATCCTTCTGTCTTCCTAACTGAATGAAACTTGAATTGGCAGAGCATCTTCATTGTGGAAGGGACGAGATCCCCAGAGGTCTGCTTTGCTTCCTCCTGGCTCTGTCTAACGACCCATAGGTGGAGTTCTCACCACTGGCAGGCAGAGGGGAGCTGGGATGTGAGAGCACCCCGCAGTATTCGCTCTAAATACCCAGGCAAGGCCCTGTTGGGGTTCTGTGGCCCACTGCCCAGCCCAGCCCTGTGTGTGAATCGTTTCTGATGTGTGTAAACGGGAAAAGGAGATTTTTGTGGATTTCTCCTAAGGGCTTGATGCTAACACTAAAGTAGAGTCTGATTTTAACTCTTAAATGCAGCATATTGCTGTACACATTTACAGAACTATCTATGTCTTGATTTTTATTTCATGCTGGTCATGACCTGAAGGAAATTTCTGAGCTCGTATACTGTATGTCGGGTGTTTTTAACTTGATCATGACCGGCCCTGCGGTGCAGCCTTTTCCTCACTGACTGTACATACCTGTGCCCACTCCTGGGAGTGCTGCAGTCTGTAATCACGCTGTTGGAAACTTGTGGCACAAGTTCTCTTGTCCAAATAAAATTTATTGATAAGATCTATATGGAGAGATATATACACTTCTGATTGTTTTCTAGATGTCTGCGGAAAAATGTAATTTGTGACCTGTATTAATGATTTAGTATAAAATGGGGAAACGAAATTAAAATATTTGTCCTTTAAGTAGTTTAGTGGTTTTTTTAAAGTCTGTTTCACGTGGGCAGGTGTTGGCTCTTGGCACACAGCAGAGGTGCCACGGGGCGCTGCACCCCCAGCCTCTGCTGTGGGGCCACTGGGTGGAGCATGGGCCAAGTCCTTGTCGGGCCCTGACCAGGCTGTCGTCTGGAGGCTGAGAGTGGGCTCGTGGGTTCTGGGTTTGTGCTGAAGCTCCTGAGGCACCAGAAGGCATCCTCTGAGCCTTGCTCCCTTCATCTGTGAAATGCGAATTAGCCTAACATGCCCTACCGCTCACCAGCTCGTTCTGCAGTGAAATAATACGTGAAGGCTCTTCTGTAAAGCACTGTGCATAAATGTTAGTTGCTATTATAAGCCAGGCTGAAAAATCCTTGGCACATCCGAGTCTGTAATTTTTGGTTTTACTTACTCAGCTGGCTGTGTCTCTGGGCTCATAGGCAGCATAGATCCTTTTGAACCCTGGGAAGGTAGCTGAGAACAGATGCCACTGGGGAAACAGACAAATGAGTACAGAAGTTAGCAGGGCTGGGGCAACGAATGAAAACAGGCTGAGGAGGGTGGGAAGGGCTGCTGGGCACCTAACGCGTCTGTCAAAGTGACGTTTAGGGCCAAGAGGGAAGACATGAGGGCATGGTCTCACCTCGATTTCTGAGGTATGTATTCTCTGCTATTAAGATATAGTACTCTGACCTCCAGGAATTTCAGTTCTGTAAAGTTCATTAGAGTCATTTACTGAAAGCCCTATTGTGTAGAGCGGTGGTAACGATAACTTGTGTTTTGGGACAAAGAACTCTTGAATTCAGGCTGAGGGTGTCTAGACAGTCTGTGAAGTTAAAAGGCGCAGGCCAGTCCTTCCCCTGTGGGCTCCCGCTGCTGCTTGTACTGTAGTGGCAAACGTGCCCAGACTCCCTGTTGGGCCTCACGGTGCTCCCGCTGTTGGGAATCTTAGTGATCGGTGCCAGGGAGTACAAGAAGGCGCCCAGATTGTGTAGTAGCAATTACATAATGCAATCCAGTTACGCCCAGTTTGAGCAATCGCTAATAGAATTGAAAATAAGAAAAAGATTGAAATAATCACCTGTTAATTTCGGTGATTTATTTTGTAGTTACTGTGGTGATTCTGCTGTAGTTGCCTAACGAAGACTCGAGGTGTGACTTCTGCTTTTTCCAGGCATGTTCTGGGGCAGCAGGAGCTGAGCTGAGCATGAGAAGCAGGGTCTGAACTCCTGAAGACACCAAGTGTGGCCTGTCAAGGGACGGGATCTAAGGTAGAAAAGTAGACTGCCAAAAGCAGCGTGAGAACAAGCAAACCCAGTTACTCAGCAATTCCTTTCAGACCCCCAGGAGGTGAAACAAAAGCAGCAAGCCAGTTAGTCCTCAAACTTTTAATTTCACAATATACAAATGAATAAAATGGTTATAATTATGTCTTTGTAGTATTTAATGCTGCATTGCTCATCTTAGAAGGTATTCAGTGATCGATCTCTTGGGACTTTTGAATGAGTAAGGATGAGGAAGAAAGCTTAAAATAGCTCATTGCCCAGCCCGTGTACTTGGTTATTGCCAGATGTTTCTACTCCAGTCCCTTCCCTCTGTTCTCCACCCCCTCCTACCCCACAGTGTGCACTTGAACGAGGGGCCTCCCTCACAAGCGCTGTGTGGGTCACAGCCGTGTGCTGTACGCGGTCTCTGCAGCCCCGCTGGGCGGGAGAAGTTTCTGTGAGTGTCCATTACAAGGAGCCAGACTTCCATCTGACTGCCCAGAGCAGTTACTGGGGCATGTGCGACTTCTGCGATGTCACACCTCTAGTGTTTGTAGCACCCGCTAACTCAGAATTTGCCAGTGCCATGTTCCTGAGACACTGACCGTGGACAACGGCACTTGTGTCCCTAGAGATGTCTGTACCTGCCCAGTGTGCTCCAGAGCACCTGCCCTGGGTGACCAGTGTGCTGGGACGTCGGTGGCTCCCAGCTCAGGAGGTGGCTGCAGTCACCAGTTCTCCTTCCTGAACAGTACAGGCCCCGCAGACCTGGGGAGGGACCTCTCTCCTGGCCTACCGGACGCTGAGTAGGCCTGAAGGAAAGTGTCAGCAACCACATGCCCACTGCAGCATGGGGCGCCCGAATCAGCAGCTGACCTTGGTGGCTGTCACCGACACAGCTCAGGAAAGACAGGCCAACGGGAGTGGGAGGCCAGGCTAGAAAGTGACCGTCTGTAGGAAAAGCTGCTGCATCTCGGGCACCGGGAGCCAAGTGATTCCTTCCTTGTCTGGTCGTGTTTCTGTGTGAGACAGATACCAGAAGGAGACTGAGGGGAGCAGTGGGGGGGAAGGAAAGAAACTCCCAGCAACTCAATCCAAGCAAGTGGCCTCTTGGTATCGCTCTGACTCATACCGGAGGAAAATGAATTGAGTGTGGAAACAAATGTGAAAAAGCAAGACTTAGTGGTTCTTTTGGGTTTTTAATTCTAAGCTGTTCCAAACCCCGGGGGAGGGACCTGAATCAGATGTTGCTGAAGGTTCTCAGAACACATCCCCACCACTCAGTCTTGCTTCTAGACCTAGAACTAGACTTAAGTCCCAGCAAGCCCCAAAAGGTAAAGTACAAAGCATGACCCAGGAGGAGGTATGCAACACTCCACAAGAACAGCCTGAATTTTCTAATGTGTGCAGACAGGAACCTGGGGAGTATGTGCGGGAATGGCTAGTAAAGGTGTGGGATAGTGGTGCAAGGAACATAACGTTGGATCAGTCTGAGGTTGTTGATATGGGTCCACTAAGCACAGATTTTTCATTCACTGTTTCAGCTCAAGAAGTTAGGAAAGGATCTAATAGTTTATTTGGTTGGGTTGCTGAAGCATGGATCATGAGGTGGCTGACACTAAATCAAGTTGAGGTACCAGGCCTGCCTTGGTAGACTGTAGAAGAAGGTATCCAAAGGCTTAGGGAAATTGGCATGCTAGAATGGCTATATCTATCAGGTTGGACCCACAGACCCACATATGGAGTCTCCAGGGGACACACCTTTTACCACAACTGTGAGGAACAAATTTGTGAAGGGAGCCGCAGCATCCTTGAAGACTGCTGTGATTGCTATTTTATGTAAGTCAGATTTGACAATGGGAACTGCCCTAACTGAATTAAGACACCTAACTACAATGGGGCTGATTGGACCCCTGTGGCGATAGGGGCCAAGTGGTGGCAATCAACAAAGACAAGGTGGGCGTGGCTACCGTAATGGACAGCGGAGTTAAAGCAGTAATCAGACGGTATTGGTACATGAACATCTACTAAATAATTTGCTTGATCTGTCCAAGCGGAAGAATTCTAGGTCAAGTGAACGGCCGTCTAATTGGAATCACCAGAATAGAGTGTCACGCCCCTCAGTCACTTCCCAGACTTCAGCCAGTTTACAGACCGCCAACCCCTTGAATGAAGGGGAGTCCAGGTCCCCTTGAGCAAGGACCCCACTGCACTGCCAAAAATTTCTACTGTTAATCTTTCTCCCAGCCTTCCCGAAAGGGATCTACGCCCTTTAACGAGAGTGACTGTTCACTGGGAAAAGGAAATAATCAGACTATTCAGAGATTATTGGATACTGGCTCTGAACTGAAAATAATTTACAGGAGACCCAGAACATCACTGTGGCCCACCAGTCGGAGTAAGGGGGTATGGGGATCAGGTTATTAATGGAGTCTTAGCTCAGGTTTGGCTCACAGTGGGTCCAGTGGGTCACCAAACCATCCTGTAGTGATTTCCCCAGTTCCAGAATGCATAACTGGATTAGATACACTCAGCAATTGGCAGAATCCCCACATCGGATCCCTGACAAGTGGAGTAAGGGCTATTATGGCAGGAAAAGCCAAGTGGAAGCCATTAGAACTGCCCCTACCTAGGAAAATAGTAAACCAAAAGCAATACCGCATTCCTGGAGGGATTGCAGAGATTAGTGCCACCATCAAAGACTTGAGGGATGCGGAGGTAGTGGTTCCCACCATATCCCCATTCTACTTACTTGGCCTGTGCAAAAAACAGCGATCTTGGAGAATGACAGCGGATTATCAAAAATTTATCCAAGTGGTGACTCCAATTGCAGCTACTGTTCAGATGTGGAGTTATTGCTTGAGCAAATTAATACATCTCGCGGTACCTGCTATGCAGCTATTGATCTGGCTAATGCCTTTTTCTCCATACCTGTTTCAAAGGACCACCAGAAGCAGTATGCCTTCAGCTGGCAAGGTCAACAGTACACCTTTACTGTCCTATCTCGGGTATATCAACTCTCCAGCCCTATGTCATAATTTAGTCTGCAGGGACCTTGATTGCCTTTCCCTTCCACAAGATATCACACTGGTCCATTACATTGATGTTGTTATGTTGATAGGACCTAGTAAAGAAGAAGTATCAATATCTCTGGACTTAAATTGGTAAAACATTTGCATGCTAGAGGGTGGGAAATTACCTGACAAAAATTCAGGTGCCTCATCCAAACTCCTTGAGGGACTGAATTACTGGGCTGAGGGCTGTGGGGACCATGATCTTGGGGAACATCTAGCTTAATTGGCATAACATAGTTTATAAATATGATGAATAGCATCTGGGGTCTTAAAAGCTTATGCATGGCCATCTAAGATACTCCAATGGTCTCACCCCTTCTGGAGCAAGGGAGAATGAAGAAAACCAAAGATAGAAGGGAAAGATCCGAATGACTAATGGCTCACAAGTACTACAGCGTCCACCAGAGTGATTCCAGCACAACTAGATGATGCCTGGCTACCATCACCGACTGCTCTGACAGGGATCATAATAGAGGGTCCTGGACAGAGCTGGAGAAAAATGTAGAACAAAATTCTAATTCACAAAAAAAGATAAAAGACCAGACTTACTGGTCTGACAAATACTGGAGAAACCCTGAGAGTATGGCCCTTGAACACTGTTTTAGCTCAGTAATGAAGTCACTCCTGAGGTTTACCTGTCAGCCAAAGATTAGACAGAAAGGAAAAAAAAAAAGCAATTCTCTTT